AAGCCGAAATGTTGCAATAAATATGGCTACAAAGATCTGGACAATAGTCCGAATAATGTAAATAGTGTACATAATACCTCTTCTCAGAAATATAGACAGATACTGAAAGGCCGAAACGTTGCAATCAATATGGCTACAAAGATCGGAACAATAGTCCGAATAATGTAAATAGTGTACATAATACCTCATCTCAGATATATAGACAGATAATGTAGAACTAACGCATGCGCATATAATAAATGGAAATCTCTGGAGCGCCATGATCACCTACGTCTTGAAGGGCATCGTTTTAAAAAAGAAAAGCAAGTAGAAGGAATATTATGAATTCAAAACACTTAAAATGGCAACGAGAACCCACTCCATTATTTTTCCCAAGGTGCCATGGCGATTCAAAGATAAAGAAAAATGAATTCAGGGAGAGACATAATCGCCTCAAAGGTCATGGCATTTTTAAACAAATATGTTAAGTTGTTCACGATTTTTTCTCCCTGACAGATATCTTGCTTCTACATCAATGGCATGCATATCATTGGCACAATCAGATTTTGCCTGCTTTTATTCTTCTGCATTTTTGTTTTCTCCTTCTTTCTTTTCTTTCTATGTGTTTTTCATTCTTTCTTTGTTTTCATATCTTTTTAAACCTTCTTTATATATATATATATATATATATATATATATATATATATATATATATATATATATACACTATCCTTCTGTCTTTACTTCATCTTTTTTTGCTGCCTGTTTTCCTTTCTTTTTTTTCACTTTCTTTCTTCTCTTTCCTTCTTTATTTTCTTTCCTCCTCCATTCTCTTCAGAAATACCCCTTTACTTTTTGCCTTTGATTTATAAATGCCATGTGCCTTTAGTATGTATGTAATCATGATTTTTTTCATCATTATTTGTAACTGTCATGACTTCTTAGGAATGATAATGGATTGGTTTCCCTTTGTCGTCTTCCGTATTTTTCGACTCACATTTGTCAAACTTCTATATTCACTGTCACTCAATGCTAGTGAGCCTAGTTTACCCTACTATTTAATTCAATTATGGGGAATGAATATGTACCATCGAAATAGCGATAAAGTAGCAATAGTTTTATGATGTTACACCTTTGTACAAATTAATTGAAACAAAACGACTAATTCCGTTATTATTTAATTTTTTTCGTATTTTTCAATGAAACAATACCCAGTGCACATGTTAGTACTTCGTATGTCCATTCCACGAAGTAGTTCCTTGCAGATTAACCATCGATTTTCGACTTGGATTTAAATCAGGAGAGTTTCCAGAACAATATGTAGTACTTTGATTTGCTCACTGGTAAGGTTTGCCAGTGTGTACGTGCAGCGTTACAATTTTCATACGCTTCTTTTGAGGAACGTCCATCGCAGATAATGGCCGTAGGACAACTAATCGATAGTCGAGACAGTAGTGTTTGGGAGTGATGAAAATGTGATACAATCGCGGATGACGCAATATTTTCAAGGACAAACAAATTTCATCATACATCTCGAAGATAGATTCATGTTATTGCACTCCACTACAAATGACGTAATCTGAGGAAAATAGAAATCGATTAGACCCTGTTTCAATTAATTTGCCTAAGGGTGTACGTCTCTGGGAAAGAGGTCAAAGAATGGAAAATAAATCTTCCGTCAAAAGAGTACGTATTGGAAATATTAGCCGTTTGCTTAAAAGGAAACATTCGGCATTCAATGACTAGTGTTATTTTCGGATGAAATCTATGAATTATTTCTATTCGATTAATTCTTCAAGAAAACAGGTTTCTCATTTTCATTAGCTTTTATAGCTTTTAATAGTGGTTTCTATACCCTAAACTTTTATTTGAAATAGTGCGGACTGTCAGCATATTGATTAGTTACTATTTTTAATTTGGAGTTCAATAACACTAGTCCATGAAGTCCGGAAAAGAGTGGTCATGTCTAAAACCAACATGCTTCATTTGCTCGTAGCCATTTTTAATCATTGCTTTCTTTCGGACCTTAACTTCAAGAATTTAACGTGCGATTAGATTGGCTGTAAACTCTCATCATTTAACACTGGATATAGATAGATGTAACCGTAAGTCCTATACTAACAGTTTCTTCTCTCGCACTTCTCACTAGTGAAAATCTCTTCCGGACCTTTGCCTTCCAGTCAACTTTGATCTTCAAAAATGTAAATGCAGTATCAGTCCTTATATTCTGTCTTCTTAATTCCTGTTCTTTTTTCTTTTTTTTTTTTTTGTTCTCTCTCCTTAATAACTTTTTCGTTTTCTCATATCCTTTCACGCTCAGTAACCCATTGCATATTAGTGGCTTTACTTCATGGCTTGGTGCGAAATGATTAAAAACAAATCTAAGAAAGCCGTTAAAATCAGCGTTCTAGGGCCTCTGATCGGGAAGTTTTGAGGAGCGTGGAACCACCAATTGATTGCTTGTGTCCCAAGGCCTGTCCTGGTCCGGGGTGGTGACGTCTGTTAGGATCCTAACTATGGCAAATGGTTGGTCTCCAAGTTGCGGTCGGAACACTATGAAAGTGTAAAAATAGATTTTAATGCAGCAATAAATTTTTTGACGGAAAAAAATATTATCAGTAATACATTTTTGAAGGAAAAAATATTACATTTTTGTAAATACTTATTACCAACATTACATTATTACCAGCAATAAATTTTTTGAAAAAAATTACCAGCAATACATTTTTGGAAAAATATTACCAGCAATAAATGTCTTGTCGACAGTAAATTCATTTCTTTGATTTGATGTTAGTTTGTTTGTTTTTTAGCCTAGACCAAGCATTCCGGGTTGAGTCTAAATCTGTCTCCTCCAGCAAATCCTACAGTTTACAAGTCCATGGTGCCGTTTCCTTTTGGTAATATATTTTTCCAGGTATAGAAAGAAACTGTAGCTCTCAGTCCTCAGCTTTGGAAAACCACGACTCCCTGTTTACCGTTCGTGGTATCTATCCTCGCCTGGGACAAAGTAGATAAATCAGGCCCATTTGAATCTGTTGTCCTTAACATAGCTTCTCCAGAAACAGGAATATCTCTATATTATATGTAAGACCCATCATTTTTGTTTCTACTTGCACTCTGCTTTGCTGTGTAGATATAAGTGTATATATCTATTTGTGTATGTCTTCGTCGTGTAAAAGTCTTTCTGAGAACAAAAATAGCTTTGACTTTCCTTTTCTTCTCAGCTATTCCGTTTTGTCCGTGACGTACAATGTTATTATATCATGTTTTAGTTTGGTTTGGTTTGTTTTACGGCATATCAAATTCAGTGGGTTTTTTTAATGCCGACAAGATTTTTATTGATGGTAATATTTTTTTTTTTCAAAAATATATTGCTGGTACTTTTTTAAATGTATAGCTAGTAATATTTTTTTCAAAAATTTATAGCTGGTATTATTTTTTTTTTTCAAAAATTTATTGCTGATAATAATTTTTCTTCAAAAATTTATTGCTGGCAATATACTTTTTACACAGTATTTCTAGTATTAAAACCTATTTTTACACTTTCATAGTGTTTTGAACTGGGACCCTCACAGGTTCTACCATCCCGGGTCATAGTATGCCTGGGAACACCAGCAATTAAAAGGTGGTTCTACGCTCCTCAAAACCTTCTGACCAGAGGCCTTGCTCCTGGACGTAGTTTATCGTCTTCCTCAGGATGCGGATGTAATGTAACTTCATACCCAGGACAGTATTATATCATGGATATAATAATGCCCATACTAATAGGAGATAAATTCTTTCTTTCACAGCTCTCACCCTTTACAAAATTATTACTGCTTCCGGGTAATAATTTATATATTCGATTGGCGTTTCTGACAACTGAATAAGTCATGACTCGGGTTTGAGTTTTCCTGTCTACTAGGGCGGCTAACTCAGGCACATTTGCAGAGGGATATTTATATTTTTTCAACACTCACAGAACCTAGATGTGGTTTATACTGCAACTATTCAGAGCGGACTTAGTTACAGTTTCTGGGAGAGAGCGCTTTATCCAGCGTGCGATCTGAACAATGAAAGTACTCCCAAACCCTCGGTCACGATGACTTGTGACTTCGTGCTAGCTCAACCATCGACGGCTCTTAAATTGTTCCGTCTACTCAATCTCAATCACAAGACTTGGGTCAATTGGTAGTATGTTTTTTTTAGTCAATTTCCGAAAGTGGCGCACGCTGGGATCACCTCCCTCGGCCAAAAGCACCAAGAAGTCAATTTAACGAAAAATCGACCACGGCAAGATTCGAACGCTGGTCGGAAAACGAATGTTCTAACCAGTGTCAGGTACAAATAACAACTGAATATGCCAACTAGAAGAGTAAGAATATAGCGATCTGTTACCAGTCGTGTTACCATTCAAGCCATCATAACTGACGATTAAACATTATCTAAATGAACTGATCAAATGTTGCCAGCTATCATATCCGCGACGGTAAAGTCTAATATCGGTGACCATTCTCGAATTAATTACAAACAGGTGCGTATATTGTCGAGTCTCTCAAGTATTGCTGGTACGATGATAGATTTGGCCATAAAGACGAACGGAAGAAGTATATAATATTTGTGGTCTCATTAAAGCAAAGGAAAGGGCAGGATTGTAAGATCTGATGTTCCCTTTGAAATGTTTATAACTGGGATTCGTTTCATTGATCATAAAATCACGCCTCAGGTTCTGTACGGTTAGTCAGTATTATCTTACGCTTGTAAGAACAACGATTGTATTTATCACCCTATGGAAGCTCCGATGAAAAATGATAGATATTGGCAAACATTAATCTACGTTACATGGTTAAGGCAAGTAGTTGTCTTCAGACATGTGTCGTTCTAAACATTTAATTCCAACGGCGTCATTTCTTGGTGTGATTAATTCTGTGACCATTATGAAATTCTGAAAGCTCTTAGCTTCGAGATTTTCTGCAGTTTCATTTGTGATTTCTTTCTTCATCTATAAGCATTCCTTAATATTTGTGCTACAGGTTTGCTTTATGGTTCATTTCTTCGCTATCCAGATCATATTATTTGAGGTCATATTTGAAGAGTAATCTTTTGGACTAATAATACTTGGATATTAATATCTTAACCTAATAATATTTGGAGATTAATATCTTAGCCTGATACTATTTGGATATTAATAATATTTGGAGATTAATATATTAGTCTAATAATATTTGGAGATTAATATCTTTGCCTAATACTATTTGGAGATTAATATCTTTGCCTAATAATATTTTGTTATGATGTTGATTTGGGGTTAGTAAAGACAAACGCCAAATAACACGTAACAATAAAAGGGGGTTTAATAGGTTGGTAAAAAGGTACAGAAATCGCCTGAGTAGCCAATAACTAGCTCAGCTAAGAACTTCTCTGTCTCTTTCTTTCGATATGCCACTATTTAAAGTCTTTGTTCGCAGACAAGTTCATCTTCAAGAGGGGTGGTAGGTTTCCGACACAACATATTTGGAGATTAATATCTTAGCCTAATACTATTTGGAGATTAATGTCTTAGCCTAATAATATTTGGAAATTAATATGTTAGCCTAATACTATTTGGAGATCAATATCTTAGCCTAATAATATTTGGAGATTAATATCTTAGCGTAACACTATTTGTCGATTAATATATTAGGTTAATACAATCTGGCGATTAATTTATTAGCTTCATACTATTTGGAGATTAATATCTTAGCCTAATAATACTTGGAGATTAATATCTTCGCCTAATAATAGTTGGAGATTAATATCTTAGCCTAATACTATTTGGAGATTAATATCTTAGCGTAACACTATTTGGCGGTTTATATCTAGGCTTGATTTTATTTGGAGATTAATATCTTAGCCTAATACTATTTGAAGATTGATTATTGGAGCCTCAAAGCCTCCTACTTTTTCTTTCTGGGATTCATTTCTTCTTAATATTTGTCCTTCACCCAATCTACATTACATTTTGTAATACATTTCTTTACCTTTAAGCACTTCGGAAACATTTTCCTTCGTTTCTTGTTACCATTGTTTCTTGTATTCTTGCCTTCGTTGAAGTTTTTCTGTATAAATGTTCTCATGGACAAATGGCATAGTGGATAAAGGCGTTGGTTAGATCCAGTGACAGGACCCAAAGACTGTGAGTTCAACACCCTGTGAAGGCAGTGGAGAACTTGGAGAGGTGAATTAACAGGAGGTAATTGATAATCAACATACTTTTCTTTTAGCTGTTTGTTTACAAATATCAAATTTGAAACTCTGTTTACGTCACTGATATCTGCGTACAAAAACATAACAAAAATTTAAACAGTTTCGAGTTTGAAATTTCTAATCAATCATCGAAGATCCAATAACTTGTAAGTCACGGACTGATTTTATACTCTATCGATATTATGAACAGGACCTTGTGATTCAAAAAGACTTTTAAAAAATCAATATTTTGAAAAGTGTCACCGATTGAGAAAGGTCTGAAGAAGATTTAATCTACAAAAATCACCCTCTTTTTTTTCCATGAGTGGACCAGTAGATTTAAGTAATTCCGGATTCTCTCTGGTGAGTTTTGATTACTTTTATTTATGAAATGTTCTGTATTTTTTAAAAACGAATTGTGGAATATCTAGTGATTTTCGAACTCTCTAGTCCTGGTAAACAAACTTTGTTTGAGCATCTGTCTATATTTCTGAGATGAGCTATTAACATTTAAGGTCACATGGCACAGTGGATAAAGGCGGTGGTTAGATCCAGTGACAGTACCCAAAGACTGTGAGATCAATACCCGGTTAAGACAGTGGAGAACTTGGAGAAGGAAATTAACAGGAGATAACTGACACCCATTAGACATGGCACGTGGAACGAGAACAGTCTACCCCAGCAAGCGAAATAAAGGGTTCAGCTCGACATTCCAACCACCCGAAGAAAGCCGGGGCGTACAACGGCCGAAACTTTGTGATAAATATGGCAACAAAGATGAGGACAATAATCCATTGCTACAATATTCCAATGAATATCTTTTAAAAAACTCCTGTATATGTCTTTCATATGACATATCCTTTCACACGGTAGGCGAAGATGTTCATTCAATGACTCTTCATTGATTATCTGTCAAGAATTCTGGAGAAATATACTTGATATATTTAGACTAGCTGCGCGGCTAGGCTAGAGAGCCAATTGTACACAACTATTTAATCCATGGATGGTTATAGGAAGACAACGATTCATAACTTTTCTAAGAACATTGGGGAGAAATTGAACTGAATTGAATAGACCTGAATGTGAACTCGGACAGGCTTTGTTCTTAATGTATCAGTAGGCAATTAAGTAGTGTATGATGTAAAGGGGTCAGCCAGTTGCGGATTGCAGATAGCCGTGACTGGACCAGCTGCACGTAACCGGAATTCTGATCGTGAAACTGAGATGCATGATGAGACAGATATACATATACAAGGTTGCGAATGATGAATTCTCGTTTAAATTAAGCAAAAATGAAAATAACAGTGACATCTCATTTAAACAGATATATTTACTAGAATTACACGAAAATATCTTAGAAGTACGAAAGAGTAAATTTATTCAATAAAATCGCCATTGGCTTCAACTACGGCCTCCAGACGACTCTGGAATCTCTTGCAATGCTTCTGGACGGTCTCATTATTTAAGTTGGTGAATGCTGCCATAATCCTTGCCTTCAGTTCATCTTTGGTATTACAAGGAATTTTGTTCGTCTCCCGTTCAACTGCGCCCCACACATAATAATCTAGGTGGTTTCTGTCTGGGAAATTAGGTGGCCAGACGTAGAGGCTGATGGGGTCGCAGAAATTGTCTGGCAGCCATGACTAGGTTCACCTGCTTGTGTGTCATGTTGCAGAGATCTGTTGTCAGACATAGGGTTTTCCAGCAGCCACCCTCTTGACCTAGGGCAGATTGACACCCAAATACTGAAATGTTCGTGTTGGAGCTTCCAGCGTGATTGCCAAGCAGTACAGCATGCGTTTTCCTTGTCCCCCGGGCAGCACTACCATCCCATAGCACTTTATGTAGGCCTCCGTGTTGATTCTGAGGCCCTCTGGAGGCATAACGTCGCGATCAAACTGAATATTTGGTTTTCATCACTCTCGTTGCATTATTTTGGAGAGACAGCAAGCCAATAGTTGTGCTCAAATGTTCATAGAGGGACTTCCGGCGCGAATGCCAAGCAGTATAGCATGCCGTTTCCAAATTTCTGGTGTAGTGAATTACGTCATTGTGCTCTTTTTCTGAGAGACGTGCGCCAACTGACCCTTCTACACTGTGCAGTTGATAAAACCAAAATAGAGTAACGCGCATGCGCGAAATTAAAAATATAAAATGGCGGTAATATATCCATCGCACTAATCTCAGCGGTTACACGAACATTCTCATTCAGACATCACAGACGATAATGAAAGACGATGGAAATTGATACAATCTAGATTTGAATATATTTACTGTTAAGTATGGAAGATTGATATTTAGTTCTTATTTGGCGCAACGAATCCATTACAGTTTCATATTTAAGAGATGCACACACGAAGTGGCTGTCCTGTGGAGTTGAAAGATACCATGATAAAATTTCACAGTTACGGCTCAAAATTTTTAATCAATTCGCCCCAAGCACGGTGATAATGTCATTAAGACGCCATGGGTTACTAAGAATGAAAGAGTATAAAATACATTAGTGATGAGAAAAGACAATAAAATAACAGGATTCAGGAAGACAAAATGTGGAGATTGACGTTGCATTTACATTTTGGAAGATTTTAGGTGGCAAGTGTTATAATGGAATGTTCTATTCTCCTTATTACCTATTGTGGACTGAGTATATCAGTAATATATGTAGGACATACCAGAGTCTGTCTGTCTGTCTACCTGTCTGTAGTTGGAGATTCATCTCCAGATGTACTGGTAAAACTCTCTCTCTCCTGGCGGAGAGGATCCCCAGATGAGGCTGTGTCGAAGGGCAGAGTCTCGTCTCGGGAAACAGTTACTCGACCCCGTTTTATACGGGGAATTTTTGGCCGAGCCTACGGGGTCAGATAGCCAACATTGAATTCGGCTTTGTGCCACATCTGACCGCGTGGGGCGGTTGGTAGATATCCTGTCTATCTGACTGACTGTGTTAGTCGACTCCCTGTCTTCAGTAACGTATACTCTTTTACAATAAACCTCTCTTTCTTCCATCTACTTCCGTGTTGCTGTTCCTTCCACTCGAGTACCACCTTTGTATGTTTGTATCGTTTTTTAAGGATACAACATCAAGGAAGAAAAAAAACAATGCTAGAAAAGAAACTATAAAAATGGAACTTACGTTTACATCTAGGTATTTCAGCATTACAACGATGAGACCTAATTACCAATCTAGTCGTACATTTAAATTCATGCGGACGAGATAAAAAGGATGAGAATATTATTTGAACAATTGTCATGAAGATATATATAGAGAAGATACAGAGGAAATATTATTTCACAGGCCCTGAGTTGTGTGAAACAATTTTTTAAGGTGTCTTAACCTAAAATATATTTCGCGATTATTTGACGCAAGTCAATTTGTACATTATTTACATTATTCGGACTATTGTCCTCATCTTTGTCGCCATATTTATCACAACGTTTCGCCCGTTGTACGCTCCGGCCTTCTTCAGGTGGTTGGAATGTTGAACTGAACCCTTATTTCGCTCACTGGGGTAGACTGTTCTAGTTCCACGTGCCGTGTTTGATGGATGTCAGTTATCAGTTATCTCCTGCTAATTTCCCTCTGAAAGTTCTCCACTGCCTTAACCAGGTATTGAACTCACACACTTTGGGTGTGTCACTGGATCTAACCAACGCCTTTATCCACTGTGCCATGTGTCCTCAGGGACACATGGCACAGTAGGTTCAATGAGGGTTCAGTGAGGGTTCAGTTCGAAATTCCAACCACCTGAAGAAGGCCGGAGCGTACAACGGCCGAAACGTTGTGATAAATATGGCGACAAAGATGAGGACAATAGTCCGAATAATGTAAATAGTGTACATAATACATCATCTCAGAAATATAGACAAAGCCAATTTGTATAGCAAGAACGGATATTTTCTACACTCTTGAAAACTCAACCCGCCATGTTTGAACATGAGAGAGTAGTGAATATACTATAATGTTCCTGTAACCGCTGGGGTTAGTGCTTATACAATGTGCGATGGATAGATTACTGCCATTTCATATTTTTAATTTTGCGCATGCGCGTTGTTCTTTTTTGGTTTTTATCAACTGCACAGTGAAGAAGAGTCAGTTGAGGCCCGTCTGTCAGAAAAAGAGCACAATGACGCAATTCACTACACCAGAAATTTGGAAACGGCATTCTATACTGTTTGGCATTCGCGCCGGAAGTCCCGCTATGAACATTTTAGAACAACTATTGGCTTGCTGTCTCTCCAAAAGATGCAACGAGAGTGATGAAAACCAAATATCCGCTCAACATCATGGCGTTTGGTGTGATCACTAGAATTGGCGAAGTTATGCCTCCAGAGGGCCTCAGAATTAACATGGGAGTCTACATAAAGTGCCTTGGGGTGGTAGTTCTCCCCGGGGGTCAAGAGAGTAGCTGCTGGAAGACTATCTATTTTACAATATATATAGCGACACAGAAACTTTATGAGTGTAGGTGAAGAGGTAAAAACAATGTAAAATAGACCGATACTCCAAGAAATATTTGATAGGTTTTTGCTGAGATTGCGTTAAGCTAACAAACTTTCAGTAGATATATTTTGTCAGTATTTGGAACAATTTATGATTGCTTCGGAGAATAAGAAAAAGAAGTTACTTTTGGTCAGTTGCGAAATTCAGCCACACGTTAGGCTAGAATAATGATATCGGAAATTTATCAGACGACACAGTATAAAATATATATTCATCACTTATGTAAATAAAACATTTATATATTTAAATTTGGTCATAGTCTCCTTCAGAAAATGTTCCCTTGGGAACGTTGACTGACAGACAAGCTCCTCTTCTAAACTCCAAATCAATTTCAAATTTTCCTTTTATTCAGATCAATCTATCAAACCCTGAAAAATTATTCAGCACTCGAAGAATATTTTTCATTTGCAAGGTTAGAATCTTTCCAAAATGTATCAAAGAATTAGATTCAATGTTGTGTTTTATAATTGCGAATAATGTTCTTCATATTGTTAACAAATTAAATAAAATTTTGTTACAATTCAATGGAGTTTGAGATAAAATAGATCTTTAATTACTGAGCAACAAAAAAGTAAAAAAATCTATCTATCTATATATATATATATATCTGTTCGTTATCTATCTATCTATTTCCTTCTGTTCATTACCGATCTTTCTCGGTGTTATCTATCTATCTATCTATCTATCTATCTATCTAAGCCGATTCATATCTATCTATCTATCTATCTATCTATCTATCTATCTATCTATCTATCTTATCTAGCCATCAAATTATCTATCTATCTATCTATCTATCTATCTATCTATCTATCTATCTATCTATCTATCTCAGTCTGTTCATTATCTATCAGTTTGTTCATTATCTATCTCAGTGTTAATTATCTATTTCAGACTGTTCATTATCTATCTATTTCACTCTGACTCTCTCTGTCTGTCTGTCTGTCTCTCTCTCTTTCTCTCTCTCGATATATATATATATATATATATATATATATATATATATATATATATATATATATATCAGTCTGTTCATTATCTATCTGTCTCGATTTATTCCCCACAGAATATGATTTTATTGCCAAAATTACTATTTCTATTAAATAATAGCATAAAGTTCATAAGTCAGAAGAAGCGTGAGTGAGTGACTCCAGTCTGCATTTTAGTTTTATATAAATATTTTTATTACAGTGCTGCAAAAGTATTCACGCCTCGTTCATTGGTGGCAGTTCAATTGGCAACAATCACTTTAGATGGCCATTACTGCCCCCAACTGAAACTAGTTTATTAGTGAGCTCCTGTAGATAGCATAATTTTTTTCAAATCTCCCCAGAGTGAAACGTTCACTTTTCTTTGGAAACCATTCTTGATTTGCTCGATACGTACAGGATGGTTTCCTCATTGAAGAATGGGCTTTCTTAGTTGTAAAGGTTTTAAGCGTTCACTATTTACATTATTCGGACTATTGTCCTCATCTTTGTCGACATATTTATTACAACGTTTCGGCCGTTGTACGCTCCGGCCTTCTTCAGGTGGTTGGAATGTCGAACTGAACCTTTTATTTCGCTCACTGGGGTAGACTGTTCTAGTTCCACGTGCCACGTCTAATGGCTATCAGTTATCAGTTATCTCCTGTTCTGTTCTGTTCCAAGTTCCCCATTGCCTTAAACGGGTAACACTTTGGGTCCTCTCACTGGATCTAACCAACGCTTTTATCTACTGTGTCATGTGTCCTTGAGGACATCTGTGTATGAATTTCTGGGTATTATAAACCTAATGTCTTAGCAAACATTTTTTACCAGTGCTCATATTGTAATTTTTTGCTGTTATCATTTCATCTTTTTACCAGAGCTCATATTGCAATTTTCGTTGTTATTATTGCTTTTCTCTGGCACACCTTATCGCATAATTGTATTCATTTCTATGCTTGGTCGGCTCAGGAGATTTTTTGTGCACTAGCATGTTCTGATTCCTTAAATTTTAATTGTTAGAACAAAGGTATTAAGTTCATCTGAACATTTGCCATGGGAATAGTGATAGATTCGTGGTAGCGTGGTCGTGTTGCGTCTATGGCAACGAGGCTGTGGAATAGATTTTCTCTCACAAACTCCGAAAACAGGCGTTTAGTCTCGAAAGTGGGGACTAAGTAGTTTCAGCTCCCAAAACGCAACTAAAGATAAATCATAACAGGTGTCATGCATTACACTGATTGGATCATTTTGCGTGTGATTGATTCGTTTTGTACGGGTTATCAACCCATTCAAGGTTATTTAAAGCCATCAATTATTTTTCGATTGTAAGGATTTTTTTGGAGATAATAATGATTTACTAATACAAGTCTTACTAATTAATCCATAGCTGGGGGAGAAGAGGTGGATTTATACCTTTCCTAAGGATATTTGCGCGTGAGTGAATACAATGAACCCAATGGTAACTGGAACTCGTGTCTCCGATTAAAAATTCCGAGCCATTATCCATTATGCCACCTATACGTCCAAGCTTACAGCACCTGGTATTCCCACACATCTAGGTACTGACCAGGCTCGACATTACTTGACAGCGCTGATATTACGGGGTCCGGTATTTCGTCATAATGTCATCGTAAGCTCGATCAGTTTTTCTAGTATCTTTAGCTATGGATCGAATACGTGAGTTCGACCTGAGGTTTTTAAGTTAACTTGTAACATAAATGTTCAGTGAATCTGGTTGAATAGTAGATGGGCACGTTGAGCATTTTTCCTGTAAGTGTTTCAAGTAAGCTGTGTTCGAAATCACATTGACTTGAGGACGGACTTCGACTTACCTTGATGTCTGTTCTTCTACCCACAGACTATATGGGTGTTATTTTTTAGTACTCAGTATAAGATATGGTGAGGTAAACAGATTGCAGCATCCCAATGCAGTCAGTCAATTGTGTGCCATGCGTGATACACGCTTAGGCGATCATGCATTTTTCGATACATGACTGACGAGGCAGATTAGTATTTCTTTCTACGGTAAACTAGTTGCCATCCAAACCTATAGAACCCTGCTTACCCATAGCTGGGTGGGGGAGTAGAGGATTCATACCTTTCCCAAGGGTATTGGCACGTCAGTCAGTTAGTTATTTGCCATGCGTGATAAACGCTTAGGCGATCATGTACCTTTCGATACATGACTTACGAGGCAGATATTTTCCTGCGGTAGGTTGCCATTTCTTTCTGCTGTAGGCTAGTTGCCATCTAAGGCTATAGAACGCGGTCTGTCCTGCTATTTACCCATATTCAAGAGGATTCATACCTTTTCCAAGAATATTAGCACGTTAGTGAATGAAATGGATTTCACTGGAATTCGAACTCGGCTCTCCAATTCCTCAATCCGAGCCGCTATCCATTAGCCTCCCATTTTTCCCCAATCTGACGCGTGATTCAATGATTGTCATATTTTCATTCTTCAGAATTCTTTCATTTTGGACGAGAATCCAACGAAATGGTATATCAAATTTTCCTTTTGGAAAACTATTAATTTGACATGTTTTGCCAACGAAACATCATCAGAAAATTGGATTCAATTTCAACAAAATCGATATTGTCGAAACAGAACGTGAATCGTATCAGTTTTGTTTTGTTTTTTCTTTAAATATTTCGTATTTCAAATTTTACTTCTTCTGTGTCATTCCAAGACGTCAGTGATCATGGCTCTTCACAATGTCCTGTTCTTTGTAGCTCTTATAAATTTAACTTATGACTAAGTATTTACTCTGTCTCCCCATCAAGATGAGTTGTGACACAAGGTCTTTTTTTAACGTTGGTACCCAGGCGCGTACATCCGGGCCAGGAACAAAAATTGTCCGCAGCCTCCGCAACCATCGTTTGCGCTGACCTCGGTGCGAGCACCGATCTTTCTCTTTGGTGCAATGAGAGGGCGCGGCCTCGGGAAGCTGTTCCCCAGACCTGGACACCTCTCAGTATAATTTTTCTCAGTTGCGACTCTCTCCTTTGACGTAGTCGCTCCTGAGTGCACTCTACCCAAAAGCAGAGACGCAACTGAGAGATGATAAATAACATGTTACAAACCACTCCAAAGAGCTGTTTACACACTTAGGTTTGTTTATGACTATCTTTCCCAAAATCTTCTCCGCCACCTAAGCTCGCCAGGTAAGGTGATGCATTAATCTGTCCTGTGAGTATCAAATTTTTCAAGTCGTCTTTCCTCATTATGTGCCTAATTGTTCAACTGTATCTTCCTAATGTTAAATATAAGTGTCCTTTTAGTTGCCAATGTTTCTAGAACATCGGCGTTGTGTGAGATTGGCCCGTCCAGAGTCGAATCCTGGTCGTCACGGCACCAATATGTAACACTGAGCTGTCGGCCCGTGGTCTACTCTCAGTCGCGGCGCGAAACCGCGATATTTTCTCATGCCAACATTCTATAATTAGCACATGGCCACTTAACTTGCCGGTACTTAAAATGATATCTTGGAAAAATAAAGGTAATTCTCTCTACCCTGTATCGGCAACTAATTTCGGAATATTTTCCCATGCCAAAATTTTTATAATCATCATATGGCCTGTCGCCTGATATCTTAAAGGCTTTTTCTGATTCTCGTGTTTTCTCGGCCAGTACTTTTACAAACATCATTGATCAATTGTCAGAAGCTCGCATTGGCCGTTTTGTAAGTCCACTGTTTACGTCAATTCTCGGAATTTTTTTTTTTATTTTTAACGTAAAAAATAAAAATCTCGGGCTATTTTCTTTTCCGTTCTCAGTATTTTCTTGTTGAATTTTTATGGTTAGTTAGTCAATTAATTACCACAGCTAATTAGTGTCACAGTTGTTCGATCCATTGTATTCTCAGTACTCTTTTGTAGAACCATATCTCTGCTGCTTGAAGTCACTTCTTCATCTGTGAGAAGATTGTCCAGTATTTGTTACCATATAGGAGGATTGATATTACATAACAATTCAGTAGGGTCTTCTATATTTTAGTAATATCAATATGTAAATGAAAACCAAGTTGGTATTAGTAAAATCTAATCTAAAAGAACGACACAAAGAAAACACCAAGCATGACTAACATGATTCATTTTCTGTCTCGCCAATTTGATTTAGTTGAAATAAAATCTATTTTTCAGTTGATGCTGTTAGATCGTTGTAATATGTCAAAATAAGAGATGTTCAAACTGTCTTTTCTATTAACTATTCTGCTGTATGCGGTAGTCAGTCACGCTATGTCTTTTTCTCGTAAAGGTCACTAGGATATATGAATAAATTTTCAAATAGACAAAAAAGTATAGAGAGAAAATAGGTGTGTAATAGGATTGATTCATGAGATTCGAATCAACGAACAAATAAGAAATAATGGGAAGGAGAAAAAAACGAAGGCAAACATATCGAATTTGAAGCGATTGATAACTACACTGAGTAGACATGGGCTGGAGATGGAATAAAATGAAGAAGAAAGAGCCGATGCCAAGATGAATGACATTGAAGTGGAATTCTCGAGCGAATCGAGTTGAAAAACTGTCCACTCGTTGATGCCTGCCGACAAATCCTTTCTAAGCCCATCTGCCAATATGGCCGCCCATCCGGCCAGTTGAAACGATCGCTAATTAGGCGGGAATCAATTTATACAAGCAATCACTCAAGGCTCAACAAAGTACGGCGCTTTAACTTCTCACTCGTCACAGACCAAATTGCCTGTGACGGTGGCGGAAGTGGCTGAAGCCGGTCACCACCTCGTGACTATTCCTATTTGTCTTTGATCGACATCAGACGGCAAACACAAGCGCAAACGTAAAGACAAGCAGACACAAACACACAAAAAAACACATGTATACATTCTGTTAGGCACACATATATTTCAATCTTTCTAAACTATACACATCTATACAT